CTATTTACCTACAAATGTTTAACAAAGATCCACTGAGTGACTGGAGATTGGAAAAGAAAGACCTCTAAAAAGCATGAGAACTCCATGTGGCACTGCATCAGCAACAATTGCAAACTCTTTTGGACTAACAGGAATTCCATGCTTAAGTAAAAACTCAGAGTAATTACAGATTGAACCATTATGATTGAAAAGTTGAGACATAAAAACCACACCATTTTTAAATAAATTTTCACAAAAACAAAAAAAAAGATTTGTGTTTATGCAGTAGATTCTTATTATTACAGATTAGATATGAGAGAGGTGTAAACTTGTGTTTAAAAATGAGGGACCAAGCTAATAACATTTTACTATGAAAAATAGATAATTTGGTAGGGATTTTCATGATGTTACAGATTAATAAGAAACTTAAACCACCTAGTTTGGAAAAAATAACATTAGGATCAGATTCCATATAGATGAGGGCTTATTGATACAATTCTTTATCCAATTTATTTTGAAGGTGTTGTTTAAAGTGGTAAACTTAAAAAAAGAGGTTTGCATTTAGAAAATTTACATTTATGAATATGATTTAAAAATGAATATGATTCATAAACAGGAAAATAAGATTTATGAAATAAGTATCACCTTTTTTCACATACATGAAAACCAAAAATGACATTTCTATAAATAAACTCAAAATTAGGATTCACATAACATTTGATAAAATCAAGAATGTCACACCAAAATGATGTTGTGTAAGAGCAATTCCAGAATAAATGTAAAGAGGTTTCAGGGTTTTCTAAACCGAAAGAACAGTAATATAATTCTTAAATCTTTTAAGAGAGCACTTATTCGGGTAAAATCTTCATCAACTTAAATGTAATTTCTCTCATTTTGTTAGTAATAAAGTATTTGTGAGGTAATGACCAAACTTTTTTCCGGGGAATATCACTTACAAAACCATTCCAATAAGAAATTACATATGGCTCAGAAATAGACTCCATCTGAAACAAAAATATAATTTTCTTATTGTTTTTTTTTTAAGATGACGAAAGGCACTATTTACCTACAAATGTTTAACAAAGATCCACTGAGTGACTAGCTTTTCTAATAAAATGAGTTTTATTCTTCCAAACAAAGTTGAGAAGCATTGTATACATTTTTCTAAGAATGGCAGTGTCAACATTCAAAGAGAGAACAGCATATGTTAACCTTGACAAACCTTCAGCTTTGGCTAGTAAGATTTATTTTAAAGATCTACTTTAAAATGCCATACCTTGAGCTAAACCAGTTTATGGGATGAAACAGATGTTCATCTGACTATATATTTACAGAATGATGGTGAACTGTCTATCATGACAGATGGCCTGAAAACAGAAGATAAACACTTCATCCAGATATTCAAAACGGCCAAATCAAATGAATGAATAGTTCTTCGTATGAAAATTGAATATTTGCTACATTGAGTTTTTACTGGTGCTGAAAACAATGGGCACATTTAAACTTAAAAAGAAAAAGAAAAACAGCATTTATTGTAGTGAAGCAAATCTTTGTGTTTTAGTGAATTAAGTTGAAATGTATATATAACTGTGATAAAATATCTCATTATAAATACTTTATAGACATTTTGTTTGTTGGCACTATATTAAACATACAATTAAACAAAAGTTTGATGTGTAATACATTACAATTTTGCATAAATGGGTGTGGCAGAATTTATTGATAGCAATAATTTTCATACTGAATTAAATTTATTTTCACAATATTAATTTACAAGTCATCCACACATACACACACAAAACTACATTAAAATAAAGTTACTCTAATGGCCCAGTTACAGCCAGTCACAGTAAAATTAATAGAATTGTAAAAGTAACAAACAAACAAATAAAATTTTTTAAAAACCTGCAATAACAAGATAACTTATTTTATTTTGAAATATTTTCACATAAGATTATGTGACATCACAAATGGATAACTTTTGAATCTTTATGCTTAGGAACACAGTACTAAGTACACAGTACACAGTGCAGATGTAATGATTTACAAAACATTGGGTTACACAATGAGGTTCCATTTGGAAACATTAGTTAGCATGAAATAACAATGAAAAAAAATACCTATTCATCTTAGTCATGTTAATTATGTTAATTTTTGTTAATTTACTAATATATTATTGAAATCAAAATTTAATATTATTTAACAGACCTCACCTATTCATGTTAATATGTGAATCAAATTATAATTTGGTTTGGAAAGCAGAAGTGGCATTGAAGCTCACGGGAACAGACAGGGCCAGCAGTGGCCACAATATGGTCTCATCCCCTCAAGGCCCTCCATGACCTGTGTCTGTGCTATAGGAGAATAATAAGCCTTTGTGAATAGAGCCTCGTAAAATCCTGCATCCCTACAGAGTGAGAGAGAACCAGGCACCTGTATTCAGAATACGTGAAAAGAGCTTCGGCCCTTTTCACTTGAAGCAACTGCTTAGTCTGGGATAAGTGAAAATGGTTAATTACAATAGAGTAAGATACAAATGGAAATGCAGTTGCAAGAACTAGAGGAACACAAAGCAGATTGTGAAGATTTTCTCTAGTAGTTCAGATTTTCTTGCATCTTTGAGTTGGTTCTGCCTGTGTAATGTGTTTTGCTACTGCTGTAACTTGCTGTCCTGTCTTCTGAACTCCCCACTTCAGTGCTCTCGCCCTCCTGCTGGGTTTGTAGTAATTAGGAAATGAAGGTCTTACACTAACGAGTCTTGTAAGACAAGTGCAGAAGTGACTTCTTGTCAGAGGAGGTACCTATTGTCAAATGTGTATTTGCACAGAAGTTGATTTATTGCAGACAATAATTTAAGTTAGTGGCCACAATCCTAAAATTTATAATGCATGTTGTTATTTAAGCCTATGTGAAATGTTAGGTGTCACGTGGCTGGCATCTCTCAAGTTTTTAATTGGAGTTGAAGCATCACAATTGTTGTCTCAATTGTTGCCCTCTTTAATGCCTGTAATCAAGCAGACGTGTGAGGTCACTCGTGTTAAAAGTGTGTCCATTCCATCATTGTCCCCAGCAGTTTGGGGTCAACCCCTTTTTCACACACAAGGTGAGAGGTTTCCCCCCAAGAGGTGAGGAGTGATGTGAAAGGATGATTTGTCGCTTCTGACACTTTTTCACAAGCCATAACATTCCTCCACTGGGTACCAAGAGGGATGCTTAGTTTAGTTTGCTCAACATGGTAGCTATGTTATTTTCAACTGCAGAGCATTCACACTATAGGCTCTGATTCCAGCAAACTGGAAAATGCTATAGGGCCTTCTGTGTGAACACAAGGCAGAGGTAGAATGTTGGGAAATGTAATGCTGGTATAAGAGTAGCAATGTTACCAATATCAAGCCCAGAACACGTGTGGTTTTGTATAGGGTGTGTGTCCTGGCATTAGTTTGTGTGTGACTGTTGGACCAGTGAAAGAAGGAGAAAATTTATACACAGACAAAGACGCAAAAAAAACATAAATAACAATGGCAGCAAACTGGAGTGATTCTAGAAAGGGCAGGGTTTTTCTGTTTTCTGTGAGTATGTTAAAAGTCACTTTGTGATGTTTGTCGTTATAGGTGTGTGTTAATTAAAGCACAGAAATCAGGAATGCTCTGCAAATGCAAATTAACAAAATTGCACAGTGGTGCCAGAACAAATTTTCACAGAAGTTTTATGAAAGAGGCATACATGATTTTGTCCTTTGGAGGGACAATGTAGTTAACATCAGTTATTAACATGTATTAACAGGATCATACAGGAAAAAATATGTGACAACCCTAAAATGAGAGAAACTGAGCCAAAACTATATTTTGTTGTGTTTAGGTCAACTTGTGTAATTTCTTGCTAAAGGTCTTGACAGTTTGTACATTTTTTTTGCGGTGACTTATAGTGACCTCTCACACCATTGTGAGGGTTAAGTTTAGGGGTGAACCTTCATGGTGACATTTTACATACAAATTGTATGTTTTTGTATGAGTAAGATATTACAAATTCATAAGAAATCAATTTGTACGTACATGTGTTATTAAGTAGTTATTACAGTGTATTAAGCAGTAATAATGTGATAATTAAAAAAATATGACAATTGTTGCAAACATTATGATTGCATTTATGTCACATTTTCTTAAACCTTGGCCAAATAACTTGGATTATTCTTTGATAATTGTAACAAGTGTAATACCAAATTCCTACCATTGCTGACCTGATCTATGTGGAATGGCCAGTTCTGGTGATTACTGCTCATGCAAGCCTTCCTGCCTTCCCCCACTGCCCTTCCTCCACGCGGTGTAACAACAATCTCTTTTTCTACTCCTTGCCTGAACCTATTGGGTCAACAAACGTCACTGCAGCTAGGCTGTGGCCCACAGGAAAGAGGTGGGGTCTCCCTTTCAAAACTGGAGTGGAGCCAAAGGCAGATTTTTTCAGACAAAAACCACCTGTTAAAATCCAGACAAGACAAAAAAGGGATGTTTAAAAGCTCTAAACGGAGGGTGGAGGAGGAGATGGGTTAGTGCTAGCTTTCACATGTACATGACTGCACACAAGGGCCATAGTGTTAAATGAGAAGCTTTGAACTTTCTGTCTTCTGTACAGAAAATCTTTAATGCATTCAGATATTAGGTCAAATATTAAATTTCTTTCTCAAAAAAAAGTGTCTCACAGTAGTATATATTTGGTATCCTGTTTGTCAGACAAGAATTTGTTCAAGCTCCAGAGTTTTTTTAAGGTCTAAGTGTGCGGCCCCCAAACTGCTGTGTGCCAAAATAAGACCAAGCAAGTGTAGACAAGGGTAAGGCTTCATAGAAGCTGAGGCAGTGCTTCACCATCTAATCTGTGAGGAACTAAGGACAGAGAGCTTTTAGAGTTAGTAAGACCAAACAGCATGAGTAAGAAATGTTGGTTTAATGTCTTGTAATAATTGTCTCTCTTTTCCTGTTTGCATTTAGTATACTTTGTGTCATTGAAACTGACTGTGAGTGGAGGGGTTTTCCCTCCCTCTGTGTCTGCTGGAGTGGGTGGACGGTGAAGCCATGAACTGTGCAATCCAGTCCAGTGCTTCAGAGCAGCCAGTAAAGTGTGCACTATTGTGTACAGCTGAAAAAAAAAAGAAAGAGAGCAAAAAAGGAGGGGGAAGAAAAGAAACTCAGTCCCTTTGTGTGGAGAGGACCCAGCAGGAAAGCGATTTTGCAATTACTTCAGCTTGCCGGCGAAACAAGCTTGGTTCCTCTTATCTGCACACACTTGCACACTGGACTGTCTCACTCTGCACACTGCTTATACAAGCACATATAAGAGTGAGCGTGTGTTTACGGGCTGCGTCTGGACGCGCTTCGAGAGCCAACAGCAATGCAAGTCTTCTGCCCCTGATGATGAAAGCAGACGTCAGACTAGCCCATGAATATTGATGCGGAGGTAGTCTGTTTCATAGACGGAACAGAAGGAAACAAGATGGCTGCCCTTTAGGATTTGTTTAAGAGGAGACCTAGACGGTTTGTTGGAATTCTACAAAGTGGAAGGACTTAAAACAAGGTGAGAGAGTTTTCCTGTTCTTGCCCTTTTCCTTTGGCCTCCAGGGTCTCTTCAATGGCTTCAAGCACTTTTTTAGCAATGTACTGTCCTTTTTAAAACCGTGAGCTGACATAAGAATGAAAGGATATTAGATAAAGCTTCACCAACATGGCTGACGTTTTCTGTCTCTCTTTCTCCCTCCCCTCTCTCTGTCCCTTTTTTGTTGGCTTGTGCAGACAGAATGTATTTCAAGCATTTAAATCTAATTTGTCTTCAGTCATTTTTATCTAAGATGTTGTGCAGTGGACAGCTTTAGGAATGCGCGTCTGCTTTGAAAAATGGTGATCTTTGTGAGGCTGTTGGCCAATTCTTCTTCAGGCACTATTTCCCAATACATCTCCTGTGCTGAGAGAAAGACTAAACAGCCACACTGCTAACAAAATTATCTTATCTATTCAGTGTCCACCGACCTATAGCTAGACATCTGTATATCCAAGAAAGAGGCGTTTTAGGTCTGAAAAAAAAACATATTTAGTAAAAATATATATATATGTATTTTTTTTCATGAAAATGTGACAAGGAATATTATTTTCTTTAAATATGACAAAGTTATTTTTGGTACATTTCTCCTTTATTTGATATGTGCTTTGATTGAATGTAGATGTTTGGCTAGGAATAGTCAAGCTCCTTGCTTTCATTGCATTCATCAGTGAATGACAAGCAGACACAAAGACTAGCACAGTCCTGAGGATTAAAAAACAAACAAACAGAAGAGCGTAGTGGTGGAAGCCCACAAGGTCAGAAGCTTTAAAAGAACTGAAACCCAACCCCATAGCACCATTAGCTGAGGGCCACCAGAGAGTGGAATTTTTGCCTTGTCTGACATTAATAGGATTTCCATTGTTTATTTGTACACAACATCTTAATTGTGTTTATGTCTACATTTTATGCTCACAGTAAGTATTTTCATTAGAAGCAAAAATGTTTCAATTAGAGAACATCAGTTCTCTATATAAGTTCTTTGTATAACATTCAATTAAATAGAGAACAATTTAGTGTCCATGCTAAATTTTATTTATATTCCATTAAGATATTATTCACAGCTCACAGTCCATGGTGTGTTGTAGTGGCCTGGAACATATTTGCATACGTCTGACATTAAGCTATAGGCTATTGAAATTAAGACTGAGCAAAGAAAATGTCAAATGCTTGAATAATTTTGACCGTTGTATTGAGAAAGCCAATATTCAGCTGGAAATAACCAAGTCTGAATGTTTCAGATGTATTTTTGAATTAATTGTGGCTTTTGACATGTAACAATCAAACATATTAACTCAAGTAAACTGTTACAAAAGGCTACAGCAGCAACTCTTTTATCGGCACTAATGAATTGCAAATGTTACCTTTGCTTAACTGATTTAACAGCTCTATTAGGATTTGCATCATAATTGGCTGCTGGAATAATACAGATAAAAGTCCTGTCCTGTTATTTTGTGTAATTAGCTTGTGTATTCCAACATTCTGTTTAGATGTGAAGTGTGGAAGTTAGCCCATGCCTGCAAGGGGATCCTTTATGGAGTGCTGTCAATGAACGTGATAGAGAGGTGGTGCAAATGCTAATGTAACCACACTGAAGGAATCTGGATACTGTATAAGCTTCCACTCCAACTTTATGTTTAGAACAGATAATCCTTTGATGATTGTAGTGGTGATAGAGCAATACATCTGTCACTAAACATATTCTACTTATATAATTGTACTTATATTAAACTTAATATAATTGTAACGGTTGCATGGTAACTGGTGAGAATATACAACATTAGCTGGAGCTTATCTGGACTGGAAGTACAGGCAGACCCTTTTTTCTGATAATAGTGTTTGGTGCAAAACAATAATGTACTTCTGTTCAATGACATGGTAGATTTCTTTGCATGATAAGAAGGCTCTTTGTTTTATTTGGTTGAATGTATGAGTGAAAAGCAGACATCTGATTTTTTTATCATCTTTTTTCCCACCCTTTTTGTCACTTTCAATTTTGTTTTGCTTGTGATTTGTGCTAATCATATTTTTGCTAGGGGTCAGTGTTTAAAAATCACAATTTAGGACAGTTTCTCTAAAAAGACAAACTTTTGCCTGAATTTGCAATGAAAATATGGGATTTTTATATAATTATTTACAATATTTGATTTGTAGGGCTTATTAATAATGGCATATATACTGTATATCAATTATCATAACCCTTGGCCAAAAACATTTTCCAGCCTGCATAGTAATTGCTTGTCTTAGTTAACAGCTTGTACTGCACTTGATTCAGTAATATTTTAAGCATTTTTGGTGTAAATTGTCACAATAGCTCTGAGTGCTGGGATTTATATGACGCCATATACACGTTTGTTTCATCCTTCAATACAGTCATTGGATGTTTGCATTTTTGAAGAGAATTTTGGGCTGTTAGAATATGTTTTGTTGTCAAGGTTTAATTCTCAGGCGTGAATTGAAGAGCACACTCCACGTGCGTAAGCGCACATGGACGCTCTGTTTACAAACACTACCTCACAACCCAGTCACAGGGTTAGATGGAGAAGTGTACTTACACCAGCCAAGAAGGTCACTGGAAAGCACGGTCATTGACTACGCCAATTTAGACCCTTTCCAGAACATTTGTATTCAAAAGACTTTAGCTAAGTTAAACTCATGGCACGTGGCTTGCATAGTTTCTGCCACCTTCAGTTCTCTGAAAACTAAATGTCTTGTGGTTAGAGGACTTGGCTGAATATATTTGTAAAGCTCAGTGAATCACTAAAAAAGATTTTTCATTACTTATAAAATAAAGTACTGATTGGTACCGTACTTCTGAGAAAAGCAAATGTTAATTTCCTCTGAGGTGAACGAAGCGATGATGCACTTATAAATGTGGTTTTCAGTAGGTTTTCTCTTCAGTTCCAGCTGTGTGGATTCAGAGAAAATCTGGTTGGTTACAGCAGAGGCGTAGAATCGTGGTTCATAACAGAAATGCTTGATGGGTTTTCCCTTCAGAATCATGTACTTCTGAGAAAAGCAAATGTTAATTTCCTCTGAGGTGAACGAAGCGATGATGCACTTATAAATGTGGTTTTCAGTAGGTTTTCTCTTCAGTTCCAGCTGTGTGGATTCAGAGAAAATCTGGTTGGTTACAGCAGAGGCGTAGAATGGTGGTTCATAACAGAAATGCTTGATGGGTTTTCCCTTCAGAATCATAGATGTAGAAAAAATATGTATGTCAGGCTAATATAAAAATCATATGCCACATGCTAATTTCGAAAACCGATGATGTCAGTTTGGGGTTATAGGGGGATTTTGCCTATATAAGAATTGCTCAGAAGTAAGTCTACCAAGAAGAGAGGTATGTTGCATGTGTCTGTGAAAGCTTTTGTGTGTGTATGTGGGGGTGCACACATTCAATACCAGCAGACACACTAATCACAACCAGGCTGCTCACAAGCCCAACAGCCTCAGTGCAACAAGGCCACAGAGTCAAGAAATCTAAAAGGATCTTTCTCATAAAATACTTCACAAGAGTATTTTCAATAAGCTGAAAACTGAAAAGGAGAGAAAGGGGTGTAAGATTCACATGTATATTCACTGGATGGCAAGCCAAAAGTCACCTTGTTGACAGCAGATTTACCACAGAGACAGCTGGACCTCAATGTCATTCAAGACTGTAAACTACCCATAAGCCTTGGATGACATTTCAAGAGGTTAAAGACGAGCAGGGGTCGATCTGAAATTTGGGTCAGACAGAGGATGTCTCAAAGTGGTCCAATACTTTTCATGTGGTTTTTGTGTCAGAGACCATGTCTGTGCATTGCATTTCCCCCCAGCAGAAAGTAATGCTATATCAGCAGTCTCTGAAGTTTGGTGAAAAATAAATGGGAAGATATTACAAGCCAACATGAAATGTAAAATACATTCTCTGTCAGGAGATTAAAAGTGTTGGGTGAAACTTTTTGCTGGAAAATTGCATAATGATAATTTTATGTATGTATGTATGTATGTATGTATGTATGTATTTATTTATTCATTTATTCATTTATTCATTCATTCATTCATTCATTTTTTTTTTTAGCTGTATATAATACTGTTGTGGATTTACAAGGCCTTGCAACTCCCAGGCCTTAAACAATCCAAAGGTGACAATGGCAAGAAAAAATCAAGATACAAGATACATGACAAAAAAATGCAATTATTAATTTATTAATTTGTGATTAAATATTCAGTTGAATTCTTGTTAGGAATAAGCAGGCTTCATTAGCAACAGGATTCATTAGCAATATCTTCAAGGAAGTCTCATAGCATCACTATAAACTTTTAACCTGAACCACCAAAACGCTGGAATTGTTCCATTCTAACCTTGGTTCAGATGATTCCGTTAAAGCTTTATACATTGAACAGTATTGCTATTATTCTATTATGTAGATACGTTTGAAGTCCTATTTGAGACAGCAAAAACTCCTCTTGTGAGTTTTGTCATTTTTGGTACTATCAGTATATCAGAGCTTTGTAACCTTAAAGGAGATGATAGATAATAAGGTGACAGAACAGTTCTTAGATATTGAACTAAATCACTTGCTTTGTTAACTATTTTAATTAACAATATAAACATTTTAGAATTAATGCAGAACAGGTAACCTGTGTAAAGAAGATAAGGTTAAAAAGTTGTTATAAATGAAAAACCTATCTGCATCATGAATAGAAGGAATGTTTCATAACTTAGTGATATATCTAAGAGGAATGCTGTTCCAGAGACACTGGAATGCTAATCTGAAATGACCAATTCAACATGACTCCCACGTCATTAACTGTAGAGCAGTAAAACCATCTAGACACAAACTGTAGTCAAGCAACTATTAGAAATGTTTGATCCAGCGATTAGTATTTCCGTTTTAATAGAATTTAGCCAAAGGATTTTCTTTTCTTAAGATCCAGTCTCTGATGTCCTTAATGCAGTCCACCCACTTGAAAGACTGAGATTTCCTCTGGAG